GGACGCTTGGTACTGACGAGCTTGGATAACAGATCAGCTCTATCATTTTATGCCCTTGGAATATGTTCAATCTGAAAATTATCAAAGGAGGAAGTTAAACGGGATACCATGAGATTATACCTTTGAAGCTGGGGCTCTTTCATTTGATAGCTTCCTCCTACTTGTTCTGTGATTAGCTTGGAATCACTACAACATCTTAGCTTCTTGACACCAACATCCTTGGCCAATCTCAAACCTGCTAGCAAAGCTTCATATTCGGCTTAGTTATTGGTAGCTTGGAAATCAAATTTGATAGCAAGCTCAAGCATCATTTTGTTGGGGCCTTCTAGGATGATTTCTGCACCACTACCTTTGGTATTAGATGACCCATCAACATGTAAAATCCAAGATTGATCTTCTGTTGGAACAACAGGCGTAAGCTCAGCAACAAAATCAGTTAGACATTGGGCTTTCAACAGTCTCTGACTTTCGTACCTGATACCATATTCAGATAACTCAATCGACCAAGCTGTCATCCAACCTGCTAGATCGGGTTTTCAGAACAAATTCAAGCTTACATCCAAAATATGATGTCTGACTCAAATAAAAAAGTTTACTTAGTTCCTTACTTTTCTAAGTAAGTCTATTTGTATATAATTGATTATAAATTTTTAGAAAATGTATTGTCTATTACTGATAGTTTCTCAATGCAGTGCTCATTGGCAACTTCTGGTTATTTGTCCTATGGAAAATATATCTATATGCATTTGTTCGATGCACAAACCTCCTCCTGCAGACTTTAAACAATTATTAGATAAGTAAGTTTTTTTAAAAAAAAACTACTTTATTTTATTTATCATTACATTTTATTTTAAAATATAATAATGATGTCCTTTTATCATTAGGGCTATGGAAGGATACCATATACTTAAAGGTTCAAAGTTGAAGAAAAAAATGCTTTGGGTCTCTCTTAAAGTAAGTTATTTTAGTAATGATATTTTTTCTAAGGTATTTTCTTTTGAATTACCATTACTACTAAAATTGGTTTTTATATTCTTTTTGTAGTCTCATAAGCAAAAAG